ATTTTTTGCTTTTAAATTTGTTGCAACCGCAGTGCAAAACGCATATTGTTAAGAACCAGTGGGTATGCATATGTTTGGATTTCCGCAGTTTTCAACTCGGCGGCCAGCATTCGCTCTTCCTCCTTTCAGAAAAAAAGGAATACAAAGAGAACTTTGTCTAGTAGGGCAGCTGAGCCCGAAACCTAAAGTAAATCCCAGCAAGACCCAAAATTTATTTTAAAGGAGGGGAACCTGTTGTTTTCGAAAGCGCTTTATGTATCTGACGAAAGCATCGTTATCCAGATTTTTGACAACAATACGGCGAAGCTGTTCCAGCTCTCCTCTGATCTGTAAATCTTCAAGTTCTGTGAATCTTTTTGTATCGAAGTCCAGAGCCATTATACGTTGCTCGAGCTCCTTCTCCACTGCTTTCGCTTCATCTGAATTATGCTCAACATCACTGTGCATCAAACTCACTATCACATTTCATTCTAAGGAAGCTCAGAAAAAGGAAGCCACCAACAGTTTTGCTTGCAGGTGCTTGCTATTGTAAATTGCTACAAATTAGGGCCCTTTTCAGTGACTGCATTTGTCACAAGAAGCGAAGGCGGAGGAAATTTTGACTTTAAAATTCAAAATACTGAAAAAGCTGTGAGCGTGAATTGGAGCAAAAAAGGTAGCTTTGAATTATAATATGATCATTAAAGGAGATTTTACCGGGCGAAGAAATAACGCAGTAACGATTATTTTAATAAACAGATGAAAAATGCATAAACGAAAACTACTGGAGTTACTAGGAATACTATTCCATTTGGTGTATTACTGTGGAGCATACGAAATCACCGGAAGCATTCTCACCTCAAGAATAGTCGTCTTAAGCTACTAATAATCTGCAACTTTCATTTCGTCGACCATTATGTTTCACGACTATGTTCCTGTTTCACGGCACATCTTCTTTTGGGACGACAACGGCACATGTTCTTCTCCAGAACATGTACCGCTGTAGTGCCAAAAGTGATAGATTGCGGGATATTTATAAAGTGCTGCGGACTTTTCTGCGTTTGATTAACTCTCTCCTTTATTATCCTTTGCTGACAAGAAAATCTGTAATTGGTAGGCAACTTAGAAAACGCCTTGACCAAAGGCTGGCTGATATACTCCGTTACAAATTGATTAAAACAAAACTTTTTGCGAAATTTTTTTGGGCAGTTACTTTTTGTGCTTTGTCGTCTTTGCATGGTTGACCATCAGAGAATACAATATTGGTCAAAGTAACTTGTGAGAAGATGTTGAAGACACACGCTATAAACTGTTTTTCAGTTCTCATTATTGGTTTAGCTTCGATTTTCAGAACACGAAGACTGTTGGTCAAAACATTCTTCTGCACGATGATTACCCTAATGCAACACTTCCAGTGTGATGCATAAAATCACTAGAAATTAGCCAAGCAATAAGGATTGATGTACTTAATCTTAAAGGCAGAAAGCATTTGAAAGGTTTCATCTCGTGCATGCTAGCATTACGAATTAGAATCACGAGAAATTAAAGCTTCCACTAAAAATGGCTTAGAGAGCGGAAACTTTCAGAAATCATGGCTCACACTTAATTCCAACAAACTCGCTCAGTACAAATTCTAATTAGATGTATTTCGCCCAAAGCAGCCACCACTCTATTTAAAAGCATCTTCAAAGTCAATACTTTTTAATGCAGTTTTTTCGCAAAATTGAATAATTAGGACCCAAAAATTTCAAAACTTTTCTCAAGTAACAAACGTTTCAAAAAGCAATTAAAAAATAATCTCCCACACGCAGAATTTCTTTAATACTATTTCAAAATAATGGGACCAAACTTGTTTCGCTATCAAGGTTTTACCGCAAACTGAATCCAATTGAGCAGTCAGAAGGTTTACTCGTAGCTCAACTCGCTCGACTACTCATAAAGAAAGAGTTTTTAATTGATTAGGACCTTAAAATTGAAGATTTTTTAAAATATACCAGGAATATCAACAACACCCGGGCAGTCAGTGTGATTTGTGTTGTCCCTGGAATGCTTTCACACGCCAGGCGCAACTGTGCCAGAGGATTTTAGTCCTGAGCTGCATAAATCCTTCCTTTATTGCCCGTTGCAAGCTGTTCAACGTACGTAGGCCATAATAAATATCAAAAGATCTCCCGTTTCGTTCTCTACGAAAGTTGGAGACGCTCCAAAAATAGTCTTTATCAGGACTGCCAACGGCTCCCTTTCTCGAAGGTTGCCAGAAGCAAGCTGATAGTGAGTTTGACTCCTGGCATAGGCCAGTACCAGTTTACTATTGAAACGAACAGATCAATGGAGGAGCAATTACATTTAGCGCCATAAGTTATGAATATTCCAAAATACCGCAGCAATACTTTTCAAAAAACAGAGAGCATTTATGTCCTGCGATATGGCAGTGTTTGCATTTACAAACAGGGATGGTCATTAAATCTCAAAGCTGTGTAACTAAATTAAGAAAAAAAATAAGCTGGATACAGTTTTATAATATCAGATAGACCGAAAATTTAAACTGGCAGATCCCAACGGTTTTGATTCTCTGTTTGAGAAAATCGATCGTGCAAAAAACAGACTTATTGTGTTTTTCTCGTACCATGGCTAAAGAAGTTTTTTTGTGAAAGCAAAAAAACATACCGGATGTCATAGGGGAACCAAACGCGCTGTAGAGAATTGATTTATAATTTTGTTTACTCGCGTACTGAACCGGCAAGTAGCCTTCCTAAATATACCAACTATTGAAGAACAACACAAATAAAAACATATTTTTGCATTAATATTATACCTCAAAAAGCACAGTATTTTTTACGAGTGGAAAAGGGGACATTCTTTCCAGCTATTAAACGCTGTTAAAAGGAAATTTTGAATCAACACGTCAGGCTTAATTCAAAAGGCGATTGAGGAGCCAAGCGACGCTAAGCTACTTGTAAGCCTCTGGTAAGTAAACGAAAGCAAGAGCACAAGCAAATCAATAGCGGCTCTCATCAAGTTCATTCATTCCGCATTGTTTGATAAAAAAATTTGTTTTAAATTTTTTGATTTCTGATTTGTTTTGGTTTCTGGCTTGTAAAAAAGAAACACAGACTGCGTCATAAAATATTTTCATACACGTGACATTCAAGTGAGATCCTGCTATTCTATTTGAGATTGGAACCAGTGATGATAAGCCAGGACAACAAAAATCTGCTGGCTTGCATATGATCAGGAATTATGATCGCAGAATTTCATCTTAGGATGATCTTTTTTTTTGGGATATGGACAAACAGATATAAAAATGAATGTACACAGCCATATTATTCTCGTAGGCACATATTTTCGACCTGTGCTAGAACTAGAAGAAGGCACTAAGTGATGAAAATTTCTATTTTCGAGAGGGGAGAATTCATGGAAGCAACACGGAAT